CATATTACTCGTCTGTTTAAGTAGGCCTAAACAAAATCTTTTCTTCATAAGAAATACATTGGGATTTTGATGGCCTGTGGGGCAAAGCCCGAGGACTTTCATTCCATGAACTAGCAACAGTGCCCGTTGTGGTTAAATACAACGGTCTCTAGGTAAGTAATGGCTATGAAATCCATACACCACTTTACTCGCTAATACTAATGGTACAGATTAAGCACATAACATTAGAATCACACACTTAACATAAGGAACACACTTTAAACACAAATGCAAATTGTTAACAACAACATTCAATCAAGGAAAAATCGATTAAATAACAATATAACAATAAGCTGGTCAATTAATTATTAACACATGCTTCGTATGATTAGATTATGCATAATGGTAAACCAATTATTGCCATCTATAAAAATTATTGGTTTTACTTTTCCAAGTCGGGTTAGCTCTTCTACCCGACCGATTTTTATAATTTTGGCCTTATATAAAGGTATGGACGCACCAAAGATTTGCCATCAAGCATCGGCATTCATTTTAACGTATATTTTGAGTTATGCACAAACTGCCTCCCTGTACATTTCTTATGGGAGTTAAATTTGTTTTTTTTCCAGTTCGCTTGGCTCTTCTACATGACCGATTTTCATAGTTTGGGTCTTAAAATAAAGCTATGCAAGCACATATTTGTAATCAAGTATCATCATCAATTTAAATGTATTACTCAACAAAAAAATATAAATTAGATTTTTTTAATTTTTGACTTCAATTAAAGATGTATTCCATCAGTTCTAATTACATTACCCTTTGGTCTAAAAACCTTTAGTGAAATACTAGCTTTCATTTGAGCTATTGATTATTAAGATTCTGATCTTAATAATCCTACCTAAAGCACACTGCTGAATCACGAATCAACAATAATTATAATAGTTTTAGTAGGCCTACTTATCTGCAACCAATGATACGTAACTCTATTTTTATTTAAGTTATTTTATATGTCTTGGTCTTAAAATACTTCAAAGGCTTTCACTTGAGATATTGATAGTTTTAATCAGTTAAGTTCAAGATACTGTATCGCTCAATCAGAAACATAAATTTGATTATATCTTGGATATGGAATTTAGTTTTAGATATATTTACTCAATTCTAATTACGTTATCCTATTTGCCATTCTACAAAAGATGATCCAAAAGCAGGTTCTTTTGACCTAAGAACCGTCAGTGAAATACCAGCTTCCATTTTGAATTATTGATTATTAAGATTGGACGTAGGCCTACCTAAAGCACACTGCTACACGAACAACAAAAATTGTTCAGAAAATGGAGTTATTTATCATTGATTTATAGTCAACGATCTTGCTTGCAACCACAACAGTAACTGTCGACTTTGACGGGATTCACCTAGTAAATCTTTAAAAAATCTAACTTTCATAACTATTTGCAAATCCACACAAATTAGGCTTTCCAATGACCTATTGGTTATTAAAATTGGTTCAGTATAACTGTAGATTTAATTGTACAAAGTTTAACAACAACATCTTTAATTCAGTATTTTCTCACCACTATAAATAGGGTTGCAAATAGCTTTGAAATGGTGAGGAAATCGACCAAAGTGGAAGGTGATATTCTGATAGAGAATAAAATTTCCTACAAATTACGGTCAAGTATTTCTTGAAAATACTCAATAAAGGCAGCCTAAATTTGGCTACAAATATAAACTTGGGAAAAAAGGCGTTTTAAATGTATTATTGTTTATTTTTATTTTTTCACCTCAAATATGTAATAAAATCTATTTTTCATAATTATTTGCAAATCTACACGAATTAGGCTTTCCAACGACACATTAAGTAACAAAATCGATCCGGTAGAAGTCTAGATTTAGTTGTACAAAGTTTAACAAAAATATATCTAATTTAGTATTTTCTCACCACTATAAATTTGGAGGTCACTTAGTTTATTTCTAATAACTTTTAAATGGAGGGAAAATCGACTAAAGTGGATGTATTCTGAAATAGAATAAAATTTACTACAAATAACTACTACGCATTTCTTGAAAATACTAAATAAAGGCACACAAAAGCTGCCTACAAATAGAAACTTGAAAACAGAAACTTTAAAAAAGTAGTTTATAATTTATTTTTGTTATTTTTACTTTTTTACTACAAATATTTAATAAAATAACACTTTCATAATTATTTGCAAATCTACATAAATTTGGCTTTCCAATGACCCATTAATAAACAAAATCGGTTTAGTAGAAGTCTAGATTTAGTTGTACAAAGTTTAACAAAAAGTCACTAACTCAGTATTTTCTCACTACTATAAATTCGGAGGTTGCTTAGCTTTTTTGCAAATAATTGGTAGGTGATATTCTGAAAGAGGATAAAATTTCCTACAAATTGATACCATGGACTTCTTGGAAATACTCAAAAAAGCCAGCCAAAAGTCGCACACAAATAAAAAGTGTGAAAAACACCGTTTTCAATGTATTTCTTATGGAAAACATGTTTTTTTAACTTTTCGCCATAAATCATGACAAAATCAAACTTTCAATATTATTTGCAAATCTACACGAATTAAGCTTTCCAACGACCCATTAATTAATAAAATCGGTCCAGTAGAACTCTAGATTTAGTTGTACAAAGATTTTTAAAACTTAATTATATATAGAATAGATTAGTGATAGGGGGCGTCTACAGAACAAATACTTTATTTTGACACATCGTTTGTAAAAATCCGTCCATTATTAACGTAGGAGTAGTGTTTCGTAGAAATCGACCTCACGTTTTATGTAGAAGGATTTGTTGTCAGGTCTTGCTAAGGAAACTGCTAGAATTAACCAGGCTTAGTTAACAGATGTTTAAATAAAAATATATAATTCCGGCTTTGCTCTGGATGTAATAAGTTTTGCAGTCTGTGGGTTAAAAACTATTTCAAACTACGTTCATATGTTTAGTTGTAAACCAAGGGAATTGAATTTGATGGTTTGATCTAATGTCAACAGATAGCGCCACCGTTGCCATAATTTAGCCCTTAACTGTACTTAAGTGATGCTCTTTCTTAATATTCTGATACGTATTTGCGCATCTACTTGAAAATAATACCTTTAATTTGACACCTCAAACGTTAAAATCCGTCACGAGCCGTTATCGAGTTATGACTGTGAAAAGAAAACTGCTTACGTATTAACCCTTTGATTCACAGTGGTATTATCAGGATACCACTTGTAAAATAATTTTTACTGCATTGATGCATACTGGTATTGTGGAAATACCATACCAGGGGCCTAGTCAGTGCTGTAACCTAGCGTATTTTGGAGGAACTAGTAGCTTCTAGATTAATTTAGTATTAAAGTTGAAGTTTCAAAGCGTCGTTGCATGCTACAGGCTACAGGCTGTTATGCAGAGGTTTTGACTGTCTTGTATACCCTTCTATTACATATAACAAAGTAAGATATATGTTTTTATGTTGAATTGAATTAGACACTATGTAATTGTTATATTGCGTCAAAAACACTGTTTTTGTTCAAACTGAAAGTTTATTTTGCCAAATATAGGTGGTATACCTACAATACCACTATGCTACTAACACTAGACATATTTTGTTGTTGCCTTACTAAGCTAAAATATAATTTCAAGCATATTTTGTGATAACTTTCGTTATTTTTTTAGGTAACTCAATCATATAAATTTTACTTACTATATTTTAAATATTTATTTATTATTCTCAGATATCCAAAAGACATGACTGAAGACATCTTACTAACAGAAATTCTAAATGACGGTTGCTAAGATGAAATAGGTTTATCAGATAATTGACCAGATGACAGTAGTCTCTCTTCAGCAAATATACTCATCTTCATTGATGAAAATACATAATTTATTTTTATCATTATAAATCACCTATTGCGTTTGGAATCATAACCCAGGTGAAGCAATTCCGCATCTCCGTCACGAATGGCTTACACTCAAAATCGACAAAAGGCAAAGGAAAGGCTAAATTAAATTTGATCAAACATAAATTTAAAATGCCAGTAGAAAAGAGGCTCAAGGAGAACGTTCACATGCCCATAATATCAACATGGACGAGATGCAACTTATGCAGAACAAAAGAGAAAAAGATTCGCTCATACTGGGAATGTAACGAGCGCAAAGTGTGCTTATGCTAGACAGACAAAAAATGGTTTTTATGAGTTTCACAACTGAACTAAGATAAAGATTAATCTTGAATCTTAAGATTGGAGAATACGATGTTGTACAATGATTCTCTGGAAACTTATTATTTTATAACAGACCTTCAAATGTATTCAGTATTGTCATACAAATGTATTTACGAGTACTAATATCTTGAGCTAATTTACTATTTTTCACATAGATTAGATAAGTAATCTTTTTATTACAATACATGAACAGGTAAATAATTGTTTCTTATCTGTAACATATTGGTAGGTTTTACGTTTCAATTAAGGTTTTTAATATTTTATATGCACATTAGACTACGCACTGATACACAGTGGTATATATAGAATACCACCTCGTTTGTTATTAATAAAAATTATAAAAACAAAATTAAATTTTTTAAATTATTTTTCCTGAGCTCTGACACGGTTAAGGTTACCAAAAAACATCAATTCAGTAAAAATTGAAATAAAAAAATTTTCCTGTGCATCAAAGGGTTAATCACGATTACTAGAAAAATATTTTTCTAGTATTCGTGGTATTAATATATAGATTAGGATGTAGTAAACTCGCTTTGTAAATTCAGATAGAAATCAGCTGATTATTTTTCCTAGACATTATTCACACCAGTGACAGGCCTGCTAAACTCAACTATAAATAAAAAACAAGTACAAGTCCTCCGTGCCTCATACTCATTCTACATTGACAGTTTTTACCCTGTAGAATGATCTGTGAGTAGTTGACTTAGCATAAAAAGTACTGATACACAAAATAAGCATACAGTTATTTGTCGTTAAAGTTTCAGTTGGTAAATTTTAATTACTGTACTCACAAGAAACGATGATCGCATTGAACACAAGAAACATGTCGTCAATATTCTTATCAAGATATTCCAGCCTGTCCTCCATGGTTATGTTTGCTTCAATTCCCGACATTTTGAAACCTCCCTGTAACAATCAGATGGTTAAGATCGTTGAGTGGCTTCCTCTAATTGCGCTGTAACAATCAAGTAAGAAGTCGTGTGGAATAGTGAAAACGTGGCCAAATTGCTACACGAAAAATGCTTTTACAATATTTCATCAAACGAGGTAAAGTACCCAAAAGCCTTGTTGGAGTGACATTGAAACTTGCGATACTGTAGCCTTTGTCGTTGAAAAGGATTAACTGGTTGTTATCACAGGCTACTATCACAACACGGAGCACGTTGGACGTCGTGGGTCTGTAAATGACAGATAAAAACGTACAATAAAACTGCTATTGAAAAGGTATTATTCCTACCATGGACTTAAGTTTAATCTATGGTATTACTATGTTTGAATGTCACACTTGCATGAATTAAATGCGTATACAAACGTACTGTCGGCGTTTATTAACATTAATTAAGTAGAGCGAAGCGAAGCTCATTGGGATCGGCCTCAATACAAACTTTCTAATACTATCACTCAATAACGGCTGAACATATTTTAGCCAAACTTACCAAGGCCATTTTGACAAATGTTTGAAAGGTTTAGGACAAAACAATTTAAATTTTTGGTAATGCCTTCATATAGTTTAAAAGTAACTCAAGGTTTTTAAATTTTATCATTGGCCTTATAGGATACCATGATGGTTACAAAATAACGACGTAAATGTAAACAGTAAACAAAACAATGAATCGTAGCATATGTTTATAATCAAGCCAAATTACGACCTAAACACAGTACAAAGGATAAACTTTCGGATGATAACCACTGATCAAATAATACAGAGAAAGTATTACACGCCACTTGGAAACTACCAATAAACGAATAGCTACAGTATTTTACAGATTTTATTTATGTAATCTATTTGGGTTATAACAAATAATATTTATCTTATGTGATTGGGAATTAACAACTACATGAATCAGCAGTTTTTAATAACTACAAAATCAATATTTTATCTAAATAGTCTATTATGAAGATGCGGTCTTTTTATTTATTTTAAACAGTGCAAGTAAACTTCGTATCATATTGTGAAATTAAATGTTGAAACGTTTGAGTGTGTCAATGTCGACTAATATAACCACATGTGTTTGATAGCAAAGATACAATATTGATCTCGTAAACTATTTTAATAACGGTAAGCTGTTTTTAACTATTGTTAATTTAATGTTGATGTAAGTTGGCTATTATCAACAAAACACGCGGTCTACCACTGAGTTCAAACAACGCATTATATACTTCCCAACCTATTGTAAAATTTGAAATATTTTTGATGATGGTATAGTGTTGGCAACACACTTGATCGTCATGTTATCTGCATGTTGGCAACAACTTGGGGTATGGAATTGCTCAAGTAAGTAAAGCGTAAAGAAGTTTTTCCGTTTTCGTTTTACAACAAAGAATTTTACAAGAATTCTCATTGAGAGTGTCTATTAAGGACAAATTTAGAATGCATTATCAAAAACTGCCTGATGTTTGCAGAAAATTAAGACAATCAATAAACTCCCGAAACGCACGACGAACTACTTCTGGCAATCTTTTGAAATAGTTTAATCATTGACTATATATACCTGTAGGTGTATATAGTCAAATGTAGATATATATAGTCAATGGTTTAATGAAGGATACTTGCTTTAAAATAATGCTTTTCATATGTTACATGTACAAAATTTAAGAAAACAGACCTTATAAGATATGGCAACACTATACGTGAAATTCTCTCAAAGGAGGCAAGTATTTAAAAGTTAAATCTTCTAATCGTGGATCCATGCAGGATTATTTCTACCTGAATTGCCAAATCTGGCCTAGATTGAGAACCTCATCAGCCAGAACTGTTGGTTCACCAGATGCCATTGCCAAGCAAACGTAGGAAAAATACCGATACAAAGGATATGTTTGTAATGTCCACATCTTTAATTATGAAACTTGTTATAGATATTGATAGTTCTGAAACAAACTGATAAGTTAAATTGATAAAATAGTTGTATTGTATCTGTAAACATTGTTTTAATTTATGGCTTATTAAAAACCATGAAACGTGATCGCTCCGCTCATCTGGCTTTCACTACTATAAAGGCAATCTTAGTTACCTGACACATAAATAAAAAAATGCATACTTAACGAACTTAGAGCAGCTGTTTGGTTGATATTTTATCCTTTTTGTAGAACTTGATTGCAACGCGTTATCAGCAAGGTGATCTGTCAGTGTCACAGTCAAAGTCACGCCCCACTTCTATAGATCTAACCTGATATACCACGAGCAACGCTAATTGTCTTGTTGTTAGGACAATTTACTCATTGGCATTGGGAATACCTAAATGGGTTTTGTGTCACCTATTAGCAGGAACACATCTTTATTCAATCGCTCTAATATGCTAATCTTAGCCAAATACATTATAGGTGATTGCATTTTGTGTGTGGCAACGAATGTGTTGCGATTTAAGAATAAAGTACCTACGAATGGTATAAGCTGCACCAAGGCAATTGATAATGGCAGTAAATATTAAGAACCGAACGTTTGATGACAAATATTCATGCCCACAGTTAATGTAGGCTACACTAATTTAACCAATATAGGGTATAGTAATGGTATACAGTTGGGTACGACGTAGACGTTGGCACTTTAGTAACGTCAGTAGAACAAACTGATATGTTGTTGTGTGCCTAATAACTACGGAGGAAAAATATTAGGTACGAGAAAAATAAAAACCATACATTTAAATTACCATTTTATTCTTACGGAGAAATAGTCAATTTGGTTGTTTATCGGTATATTATAAGAACATTTGAGCCCAAGGGGATAGGGGGAGCCACCTCCCATCATTTTTGAAAAGTGTAAAAGGTGGGAATTGTTGGGTATTTAAAGCTACGAGTTGGGATTTTGGAAAGTTTGAAACTGTCGACTTAAAGGCTCATTTTAAAACTAAGCTGACAACCCCACTTCGGTATAAAAATATTAATGGTACAGATTAAGCACATAACTTTACAAACACACACATAACATAAGGAACACACTTTAACCACAAAGGCAAATTGTGAACAACAACATGCAAGCAATGAAAAGTTAATGAAATAACAATACAACAATACAATATCAGCTGTTAAATAATCAACACATGTTTCATATGATTAGATGATGCGTACTAGTAAACCCATTACAGCCATAAATCTTTTAAAAAATCAAACTTTTATAACTACTAGGTGAAACCCGTCGAAATCGGCGGTTACTTTCAAGGCTTACGTTAATAAATCTAACTGCGATAAATTGGGTGAAATATACATATTTTGAGCATTTAGCAATAAGTGTAAACAATAATGATATTAATTGCATTAGTTGCCAAATTTGGTTGATTATTCAATTAATAAAATATTCCCCATACCGTACGTCATCGGAGTTATTATTAGAATGTTATATGGTATCTCTTCCTTTGGAAGAACCTTTAAATAGTATTAAAATCGTATTGATGGATCTTTTGTAGTTAAACACTTCCTTGATTTCATCAGTTAATTTAAAAGGAATATGACCTTTCTGTCATGACAGTAGCTGCTAAAATAATATTTTCTCTTTGCACAATATTTTACAGCCAAAATGTTGTGTTATTTTCAATAATGTATTTTCAATAACCAACCCAGTGCGCCAAAGTTCGTAATATAGGTAGGTGCAAATAATTTGTCAAGATGGGTACCATTTTAGGCAAGGTTTCTATGTTTGGATTTTATTAGACACGATAAGAGCAAATATTTCTACATAAATATTTGATATGTGTAGAATAATATGATAAAATGTAGGCAAAAGTGCGCAAAAAGCAGAGACCAACCCGTACAATAGATATAAGATAATTCAATAAGAAATAATTTAAGAACTGCTGTCATAAAAGGATTTTTCACTGATTTCGTAATGGAACGTTATATTGCAAAAAATGGCATGATAAAGAAGAAAATCTATCTATAATATTAAAACAAAACAGGGTTTTTTATTTCACGATTCTGAATCAACCACTTGACGGATTTTCATGATTTTTGTGTTGAAAGAGAGATGATTTTGAGAACTAGGGAATGTCGAAGCAAAAATTTTAGTTTAGGGTTTCAGTTTTTTAGAAAATAAGTTAAACATTTTAAAAAGTCTAGCAGCCGACGCTATCATTCTACTCTAGCGTTTGGTATAAAATCATTTGCATAACGTAACAGCTGTAAACATTAAGCGTGTATGTGACACAAATTCAGCATTTGGATAATAATTACATGCATAGGGTTGACTTATTTATACTATGTGTAATGCTATGCTCATTGATTCATCCATTTTATAGGTAAGAGGATGACCAACGATTTAAATATTTATGGTAAAATTATAGATGTTCTAATTTATTTTTTGGAGCAATCTTAAAAATTTTAAGTTTGTTTTAGTGCAATATAATTTGTTTTAACTAACAGCTGGTTGAATATAAAAGTTTTCTCTTTAGAACTATCAGGTTAGTTTACTAGGTGCACGCTCATTCTTCCCATGTGTGGACGAAACGAAGGTAGCCTAGTCAATTTTAAAATCAGATAATAATATTGCAAATACTTATTTGGTAGAATTCAGTAACTCCCAATATGTGTGTTGTTTGAAATACAATTTAAAAATGAACAGCGGTTTCATTAAAAAGTATTATTCACATGGCCAAAATGTAAACAACTCTGTGGAGGGATCTTTAAAGGCTTCTGGGGCAGAATCCTAAGCGATTTTGCTTAGTTTTTTCTTTTGATAACTCATCTACAGACCAAAACCTTTCCTTGGACACCTCTACCAAGTTTCTACGCCCAGCCGATCTCAAAAAATAAGTGGGGACAAAGTTTCCAATTAAATAATTAGATTCCCCCATGTTAATCTTAAAGGAGAAACTCCTTTGATGGCCTGCGGGGCAGGGTAGTTCCGTACTGCGCCAGGTCTAAATAATCCCTCTTAGCAAACGCCCGTACTGCGCCAGCACTAGTCCAGGTAGGCG